TCCCTATGCTTTCTACTGATAATGTATTCCAAATGGCATCCACAATGACAAAGACAATGTACCTATAGCTGGTCCTTGTAACAGCGCAGTAGGTAACGTGTTTGCCTTCTAATCCTATATAGGTTTAGGTTTGAACCGTGACGTCAACGTACCTCGTTTCGCGCTCCAAGCCACCAGCCCCAGCACTGGACGTAAAACAGGAAATATAATAATGATAATTATACAGGTACACTGTCAGTGAGCAGTTTCAGCTCAAGGAAGTGTTTTAAAAATGCGACAAAGTAAACAACTTTTCTAAAATTAAACAAGCTTGCCCTAAACTTTGTGTTTTGCCATGCTATCTACTCCTACAATATACGAGCACCAGTGCAAACTAGCGTCCAACCTGTCTTATTCAGTACATTTAAACGCACGGTTTACGAACACATGGTGAACCGTATTCACAGTGGGGGCCAGACCGGATTCGACCAAAGGTCTTCACTATTGCATACAATACAATCCCCAGGGCGTTACGAACAACGCGCAAAACGAGATGCAGTCGGTAGGCACGAAGGCTGTCCACGGGTAAGAGCCTCCCACAGGGACCAGTGTCGGCGACGAGAACCGCGCGCCTCTCCATTCAGATAGCAGCTTTTAAGGGGAAACAGTTCCGAGGCAAAATGGGATAGGGGCTTCAGCACCACTTATCCGTTTAGGAAAGCCACTGAGATTTGCCGTATACGTAAGCGACGTCGGCAGCGGCGGGCAAAGCGAGTGTCGTGAATTTTTCCGTGGCTATCCGTACCATCCGCTTCCTTAGGTCGCGGTGCGTTCGTCACATCTACGCAGGCGAAGTTGGCATTTTCCACCGTTACCGGTACAAACTCCTTGGCAGTACAATGGGGAACAGACTGACGTTTGTAGTCTACGACGAGAGATAGCGCTCTCTCGACACCTAGCCTCGGAAACGGGGGCCCTGGGGACCAAGCATCCTTATAGGACCCTTCGCAGCTGTAATGTCGCTGTGAATGCAGGTGCCACCGTTCCTGTAGAGCCACGCGATCCAAATAGGCAAATGATTTTGTTGACCCATAAAGTCAGGACTCCAGGGAATGATATGGCGTAAGCAGACTTAGGATTCGGCCCCAGCTGCATTGTATACGAGTACAATATATGTGTGGAAAAACGGAAATTGTTGCGAAGTTTCTATCCAAAATGACTTGCGTAGAAAAAAATCTTTAAAATTGAGACGTTTCTACTGTAAATCACCACTGAATATTCGATAATCCAGTCGGGTTTTATTTACTTGTATGAATTGGTTTTTTCATCTCTGTAAAATACTTCTCCCACACTTTTCTAATTATTGACAGTTGGTGAAATATTAGGTTCTTGGACTTCTAGGTCACCGATGAGTCATGAAATAGGTCTACTTGCTCTTGCACCTTAAAAACAACATTCTGCAAATAACTTCTCTAATTAGTGTCTTTCATAAAAGCATGGTACCGTGTCCTGGATGTTTGTGAAGACTCAATAAGTGACCCGCCATGACATCTCTAGACACACCGAGTCCGTGGGCTCTCGTATGACTCTATATTCCTCATTGGATTACTATAACTGATGTCCATCTCTGTGTAGCACTGATTCCTATAATATGTCCACATCTTTCCGTCATATTTGGACCCCATATTTTGTCTGTGCCCACTCGGAGAGCGGCACCCCATGGCCTGAAGAGGTCAGAGTGTATCTCCCGAGTCCATCCATCAAATATCGTGCGGACGGTCTTTCAGACCTCTTTTACTAGCCGTAGCATTGGCAGAAGCCAAATATATAAATCGATGTGTTTCTGTTATGAGACATTCGACACTGACAAACAATTTCCAGTTCGATCCCAGTAGGCGGGGATCGTATTGTGCACGTATAACAGTGGGGTTCGCGTGTTGTACAGCTGTCTCTCTGCATATGCGATTCTGATAGGTAAATTACTTGGTGCCTGAGCTTGAACAACTTAATTGCAGAAAATGACAACTTGTAAGGCAAGCTGAGTGTTGCGTTACGTATAGTACGACAAATCATTCAGTATATGTTAAACCATTCATTGACTACTATGACAAAAGATGAATAGATATTGACAATTTCAGTTTCGGTCAAAATTAAAATATAAATTGTACTTTGATCAGATCTAGATTCGATTCTGCTCAGAACACGCGCCAAGCACGTATGCACGTACAACTCATAATAAAAAAAAATATCGGGGTACGTGAAACTCCTTTATATTAACAGAAGTTGGCTGAAAAAAAACTAGCCTGACTAATATAAACAAGTAATATATACGTTAAGTTCCGGTTGCCTAGCGCAAAGAATATTTCTCTGTCTATTTGGTTATATTACATATTCAGTTTAGTGGTCTGCTGGGATTCGACATATCTGGTTTTAGCCGCTGACTACCCAATCCATGACCTCATTGCTTAAGCCTCTAGTAGGGGGGCGGGGGGGGGGGCTTCAAGAGGTGGCAAGAATCTGGCCCTTGGGATGGATAAGGATGCGGGGGGTACAACCAGTAGGATATGTGACTACTAGGCTTTTACCGATGATCGATGAAGATCGATGGCCCTTATACCCCTGTTTGTTTGAAGATGGTCGAACACACTGCCGAGATCAATATTCATTTCCGATCAGCTCCGCAAACTGAGCTGATTTGGACGCCCGACAATGCAAAAATCTGAATACGGCCGTAAGCAGCCAGAATTACTAATCGCTCTGTAGCAAAGCTCTGAATAAATTCAATGGAAGCTAATGTTTGTACAGGATGGGGCAAGCATTACCTGCCAATTTTGAAAAACGGCTTTTGATAATTCGAATGTTATGAATTACATTTCTTTACTTTTACTGTTTTGCTCTTCTGCTACTTGGAACGATGTAGAAAAACCTTCAAACTGCCAAATGACTTTTTTTTTTTAAATATCAGAGGGTAACTCTTGCCCCATCCTGTAACTTAATTGAACTATCAATGATTAAAGTAATAAATGGATAAAGTAATAAATAAAAAAAACAACAATCACCACTGTCAGTTGAAACAACAATGATGTTCTTACCACGGCTCACTAGCAGCGCATTAGATTTCTCAAGATTATAGCGTTTGTTATCGAGAATAATGCCATGAATAAAGTGTCACGCCTAAGCTTGCAAAAGACAACCTAAATGAAATGTTTGTAAACAAAAAAAAAAAGGCAAAACAGAATAAAATTAAAATGCATATCTCCGGTAGGCCGGTGTTCTGAAGGAGAGCTTCTTTTGATTTAGTCCTTTTCAATCGAAGACCATACCTGTTTTTTCGCACCGCTGCTTAATTAATTTATCTTATTCATATATATGTAAACGCAGTCTTCCTCGGGCAACTATAAATGGTTCGAGTTTTACGTTTCATATTGTTTTAGTTACATACTATTTATTATAGACGCCGAAATCCCGCCAGCCCGGAACAAGGCGACAACCTAAACCATTGCATTCCCTTAAGCAGTCAAAAGCATTATTTTCAAACGGGGACCGTTCTAGGTCACCTGGATCGTCCGATGAGCTTTATATCCCAAAAACCTAGAGAGAACCATGGTTTCCAATATTGACGATTTGCGGCTTAAATATTGTTTCCGAACAACAACGATTGACGATTTCGGCATAACCACGTCCCCCATCTCTCATTGTGCGATCGTTGCACTAATACGTAAAAGCACGACGACCAGCAATTTGCACTTTAGATCTGGTTTTTGCGGAACAGTGACCGGCTTCGTCACCCTGAAGGGTCAAGTACGCTGTAAACGGTTTCGACCCCATTGAGATCCCAGCGTTCGTATGGCTCTCACTGAAGCCACTTATGGAACACCCTATGTAGTGAAGCCGCTAACTCGTAGCGCTCCAATAGCTCCGTCACTCCGAACGAAAGGAAAGTCATCGTGAGCAAACGTCTTCGATGGCACGAGCACTGCCGCGTCGGGCGACAGCGGTTTACGCTGTGTCCAGTGGAGCAGCTAATGCAGATATTTTCCGTCGGACTCTTTTGTCGGGTGTATGGCTTCGGCCTCCATATCATGGATAGATGTCGGCCAAGGAACGCCTTGAAAATGATGCGTTCGGCTATGAGGTACAATGTGACGTCTACTCCCTCCCAAACGAAGAATGAGCAGCCTGGGCCCGAATCATAGATATACGGCACGCCGATTTGAAGATTCAGGAAGGCATTCGTTTTTAGTCGTTCACGGCAGAATCTGAGCGAGCGTTGAGCGTGCCGAGGTGGCGGCGCCAAGAAAACTAGCAACGCAGAAGAAAAACGAGATTCTCAAAGAGATCGCACACTAGTCGAGACATCCATAGCAAGGACCACATAGAAATGGTCAACTGCACGAAAAGCGCGCAAATCCCAAAAGCGCTACGAGGATGTCAACGAAAACATCCTTGTCGAGGACAGCTGACTGAGGCGCTGTCGCCGTGATCATCAGGAAAATTTTACAAAGCTAGAGTCGCCGAAGAGAAACGGTCAGCGGAAAAGTGGCCAGCAACGCCCCAATCCCCTACCTGAATCGGGGTCATGCTCCAGATCATGATCTCGCAGAGGTGGACTGGAGGTACACGTACGCATTTGCTCTAAAAAGCCTAAAAAGAACGACCTACAATGCAGTATCCATCCAAAGAAGGGAGGTACTGCCCCTTGACCAAACGTTAACATCAGCAAATTTAAGACACTTACTACCGGCAGGCGTCCCATGTACTTTCTCTCAGATTTACACAGACACACACGTACCTGACAGAGAAATATTGAACATACACATTTTCCTTGTGTCGTACCTAAACTTTAATTATTATTATTTAGTAATGCTAAACCTAATCTAAAATACGGGATAATTTGTAAGGGTAATAAACATAAATTTGTATTATTTGTTGTTTTTGACTTGGACTCGAGTGGCGCGACAGCCTGTTTTAAGGGTAGTGCATGGCATGACCAAGTCTTACAAAAAGAATTAACCACTCGCCTCCTTTTTGATTGATTCGCGAAACTCAGTCTCTTTTTCGTCACTCCATAATCCCTTTGCCGTCAAGTACTTGCGGAAACGAAGTAATGGGTGCGCCTGCTCTTCCCATATCTTAACCTGCAGTGGCAAATGGATAATATTTCAAGAAGTGCTGCAAAAGTTTATCATTGTTTATAGAACAAAAAAAATTAAGGCCTACCGCAAAACTGCCGTCCAGACTATGAGCGAGGTTAAGTGGAAGATGATGCAACGATAGGGAGTAGGACAACTGTTTACCTCCGCAAGATTTCTATAAATAGTCGAATCATCGGAGGTCGAGTGATGCCCAAGACGGTAGGTCATCGCCTCAATAAGAACAGGGGCATTTTTTGACAAACAATATTCCCGAGCCTTTGTAGTCGCATTGTACACAGCCAGTATATCATTGCCTAGAGGAGGTATTAGATCAGAAAAAAATCACCATAAGAAACTGCCTGAGTAATGTATCTAAGAAGAAAAACAGTAACGACACCTATCTTCCCCGCGTATAAACATATATATATATATATATATATACCAGTTTAACGTACGCTAAAATTTCTCAAGTCCATTTATCATCTTTTAATATGTACATGAATTAGTAGGTCTGTATCGTTCGTTATTATAGCGCTACAGATTGTATCTTCTAACGGAACAGAGATTAGCGAGATTGCTGAATTCTGTTAACGCCATAGACAAATCCTTAAGATCAGAACTGTAAGCCAGTGATCCGTGCGCTGACTTGTTGCTACAATAGCCATATATAACATAAAGCATGGTGACACACCATCGCATCGAATTGTTCCTATCCCATACGCCGGTCCTCGAGCGCCTACGCCATCCCCTCGATATTGTTCGTTCGTCGGAGTAGATATCGCGTAGCCATTGTTCCTGCAGAAAAAGATCACTGGAACCTTAAGTGTAGCCGAAAAGTTAAGCGCTGCGTGAGCGTCCCCCTCCGACGCAGCTCCGTCACCGAAGTAACAGATCACTACGTTTGATTGCTTAGCTCGCTTGAGCGCGTACGCAGAACCAACCTAGTCGCGAACGAAACGCACACCGCAATGGAGAGTCGAGAAACAAAAAGCGAGGGAATCAGGTAAACATCAGCTTGAAATATTACTTTTCATTTTTCACCCTATAGATATAAAAATGATATACGAACCTCATAGATAGAACAAACAAAAAAAAATTGTATCGTCCTAGTTGTCACTTACCTTGATATATTATGCCACTGCAAGTGCGTCCTAATGGCAATAAAACTAGCTACACACAAGCGTAGTAGTTAATAAAAGTAGTAATAACAACATTTATTAATAATAAAAATTAAGTTGGAATAATTTTTTACCCTTTGCCGGCCGACAGCTCTTTTTTTCATTGTAGTTTCTTATCATACGGCGGTTCGAAAGGACGTAATGAACTGCTGTAGAATTTTATATATGTTGCTTTGGTGGATAATATGACCAGGGCATTTTGTAAAGTATTTTTGCTGCTTGGTATGGATGGATCTAGGTCGGGGTCAATACATGTAACGTTACACGTCCTGTTGACAGTCTTTATAAAAAGACAGAGATCACTGTTGATGAGCGTGCAGCTCAGGCAGCTCTGAGGGCAAACCAATGCACTAGCATCAAAAGAACCGTACCTATACGCTCCCCTATTATGAGTTTTATACATAGAGACTTAATGGCCTGATTGGTGTTTCAAAGTATGGAAATTCTGACAAGCTAATTATTACTCGATATTACAATAGAGGAATTGTCTACTAATCGGGTTAACCGCAAAAAGAGAACCTTTGACAGGAGTTCGCCCGTTCCCAGTTTTATGCACATCGTAACAAAGTAGCTCTGTCGAAGGGTAGTTTGTGCAGCGGCTACCTGTGAGCACATGTTTTGCATCAGTCGTCCTATCCTTGATCAGTACGCAATATATCGATGGGCTGTCCGTCGTCCCCACCAGTGACCTGCTGGGCTTTTCATCTCGTTAGAATGGCATACATGCGTCAATAGTATTTTCCTGGGTTCTTTCCGTCTAGCCGAAATCGGACAGGCCTATGCGGTTTGATTGGGTTGTTTGCATGTTCCAAACTGACGGCTGAATAGGCTGATAGGCCTGCCGTTCGCCTGTCGGCTCGCCAGAACATAAGAATCTAGTAGCATTTGAAATCCGAATTCTACTCGCTCCTCCTCTCTCAGTACAAAACGAACGCATAGCCGAATACCCCAGGAACTGACCGCTGAACAAACTGTCCGTAGAACTAGCTGCTGCCACCACGTCGGCTTGTCCGAACGAATATCGGCGGTTGGGAAAAACGAGCTGGGAAGAGAAACTCCTCTCCCCTGTCCTCTGCAGGGGGCTCAGTGAGCTAGCTCTAAGGTGGGGTTCGAAAAGAGAACCAGAGCAAGCGGAGCACTTTGCTCTCGTTCGCACAGACGCAACTCTGGCACGGGTCGTTTGTCGATTTTGAATTCTCTGCTCGAATCTCCTCGAAATCTACCGCGTCCGCCACCAGACCCAAATGTCCGCTTGGTTCACTATCTTTCGCGCCATTACAAAATGTATTCGATTTTCTTCAAAATGATTCAAGACTCTCCAATAAGGCAGAGAAGAGAGGAGGACGCAAACGTTCGCACTCGGAGATGAAGAAGCGAAACACTTCTCTTTCGGGGTTGCATTGGGCTCGCTCAGCGAGCACGAACCCAGAACCGTAGACGAAACGGGACAACTGGTGGCTTCCTTCGATCGCGATGACGCTTGGCACGCATTTTTTTTTTTTTCTAGAGAATATGCAATAAATCGATAGCTTTCGACACTTGTAGTTTCAATCGATACGCAAGCCCATTTGCTGGTTCGGAGAAAACCTTCTTGAGAAGTGAGTCGTTCGCGGGGAGATTTTGTCAGCTATAGAGTGGACCGTTATAGCTCGTTGTGGTAGCTAAATAAAACGTGATGGTAAGAGGTAAGCGTTGAGTTGAAAACAATGCTTGAAGGTTTTCGAATAATTTCCATAGCCCGTTTGACAGACCGAATAAAAAGAGACCGGTAAACTAGTTTCCGTCATCGAATGGTTACAATGGTAACTGGGTTTAGTCTGCATCTAAAGTGGTCACGAATAATAACTAAATAAAATCGGCATAGAGTTTATAGCGATGTGTACAAGCGTCAAAAATGACTGAATACATATATAAATGCGGCAGGATTCCCGTGTAGAAATGGGAATACCAAGAGTTCTCTAATTATGCTCACCGGCAGGAAAAATCACTGTTCGATGAGTGGAAACAATACACGCCTCAGCGTTAATATCTAATTTCAAATATCGTAAATACTAAGATACTTAAAATTAACCTGAGGAAAGGCATCGGAAACCCCTGTCTTAACTAACCCACATCCTACAATAAATGTACATAAGTCGCGTTGTTTGGCCTAAAAATTTACGCTCAAACTTTAACTGGCCGAGGGAAATTAAGGATTACAGGGAAACATTCAAATTCGATGTTAAATGGGACATCCGCAAAGGCAATGCTGTAAAAAAGAAACTATATAATTTATTTTCACAACATCAGAGGAAAATGTCTGTTTTGCTGTATTTTAGGTTGTGTCTGCATCTAACTGAGATGTGTCGAACAACGATGAGGAATCCCATCGATGATTGTTTCCAATCAAAATCAATTAGAATCAACTATAGAACATTACAGAAGAAATGTTTGTTTAACGTATTCGGAGTTTGCTGTTTTTACTAGTAGGCCTAAAATCTTAGTTACCGAACAAACACTCACTCAGCGACGCTTTTTGGAAATTGGTAAAATTTTACAAAGATATACAGCGCAAAATTTTCTGCTAATGAGCAATTTCGTCTCATAAAACTGACCTCCTTGTCAATATAAAAATAATCCATATAATAACATTTCAAAGAAGTCAGTGCTACCAAAAGGGATATTCAACAAAATAATAAAAAACTATCCTTAATATGTTTTCAGCTTCAGACATTTTATTAAAGCAGGTAACTTATTCACTGCGTTATTAACTTTGCAAAATATATGTGTGTGTCTATATATATATATATATATATATATATATATATATATAGGCTGTTACGAGCGAACGCGGCGTACTTTGAAATTGAATAACTTCGGAACTACGTGGAAGGCGTGAAAGATCCTTCAGTTTGAATGTGTACTCTTCTTTATTTTTACGCACTTGCCCCAGCGCTCTGGCAGCTTCTGGATTAAAGCTCTGCAAATTGCATATGGAATATATCACACGCATTGTAAAGTGGCGTGATTTTATGACACGTTACATGTGACACGCCATTTTTGGACCGATATAGCCCTTAAGTATCAAGCTCTGCTTTCGTGAAAAGCCTCTTTAGTCGCAGCAATGCGTTCTCGTACCTCGGCTCTCGATATCTAGTTACCTCTTCGCTGGTCTTCAATATCTATTCTCGGACCGCTTGCGTACGGTGCTTTCGCTTAAGGCCTCCTTGGCTAATCTCTTCAGTAAACTTCGACACATTTTCCTAGCTCTATGCTTTTCCTATCGGATTTACCTCTCTTGGAGTAAACTCTATTAGTTTTCGCTCACAACTTTCTAAAGAAGTGGAGTATTCACCAGCCAAACTTCGTTTGCTAGCGGCATTCAGTCCAAAATTTTGAATTCCGCCGGGTTCGTTCGTAACGGCCTATTATGTATGTGTGTGTGTGTACTATAAACCTAACGCCTCCTTATAGTAAGAGAGTTGACAAGCAACACAAAACTGTTTTTATAGTGTTTTTTTTTTTTAACAAAGTTTCAATCTATGTATCGAACAAATAAGAAAACTGTATTCACATATGATGTATGTAATAGCTATTAAACCGGAATACAAATCTAAGGTACTGAATTTCCTTTCGATGTAGCAACGCATATACTTATTAGCAAATGTTTCACTCGATGTGTGGGTGGACAGCCTCTGTAAAACTCGCAGAAGACACGCCGATGCTGCCAAGAAGCTAAAGTAACGCTAGGCCCGCGCCTGCATTGGGAGAATTGCTTCGCTCCATCGAATTCCATGTAAACAAACATCTTTGATGCAGGTCCCCATACACAGGGACGGACTTTTAGCGCTCTGTTTTTTTGAATAACAGCAGTTTGGAACCATCCAAAGTGTACTCACATGTTACGTCAAGCGTACCTTTCGTTATACAAAATACGATCTTCGTATTCCTTTGATCCTGCCACTATACGATCGCATTTGCCAACCAACAACGAAGATGCTCATCCTAGCCTCACTAATCGTGGATTGCTGCGTGCGCAGGATTCTAAGCCAAGCCAACTTGTCAGATAAATGATTGTGGCGGTATAAAATTGACTTTATACGATATTAACAGATACGACATAAACAGATCGAAGCACAGAAGTTGGTGTGACTAAAAACATCAAAATCAATGTAATAATAGTAGGCTAATGTTTTTGTCGCACGGTAACTGTGGATTGTTATTTCACATGACTAACAGTTCTTCGGTGGCGCAGATTGATCGCGGAAGAGGAAAGGGAAAAACAGAAGGAAAAAAGAAGAAACCACAGCACTCGCCGTTACTTAGGCTGTTTTGCCGCTGCACCTATTCACGGTGCTACCTTGTTACACACAGTTTTTCCTAAATTTCTTGAGACTAATGATAATATATAGATCTCATACATTTTGTTCATCGACCGTTTGAGACGCCCGTTATGCATTTGACTGGAGATATCATATATATATATATATATATATATATATATATATATATATAGAGAGAGAGAGAGAGAGAGAGGAGGTTTATATAAACCTACCCAAATCCATGCACGTGTCTCGTGAGTGCAAAACATTAAACAGATGTTTTCTATTTTACACCATACCTAAGGTCTGCAGCTATGAAGAGTGCTCCCAGCTACTTTAATATGTACATACTCAGTGGGAATAAACATGCACACATACACACATATCATGCGCTTTCATCGCAACACGGCCGAGCTCTAGCGGAGCACTACGTCAAAAACGAATCATATATGTTTCGAATAGATAAAAATTTTCACTTGAAAAAGTAAAATCACTTACAGCTTGTGGCATCTGGGTCGAAAGTGGCGAGCTGATGGTGACAAATGCCTTTTCTTTCGACCCATAGTGACAGGGCATCTGTCGACCTTTCCCGACGTCATTCTGATTTCCGTAGCATTGATTGATTATGTTTGTGAGGCCGAAGTCTCGCCACATTAGCACGCCTGTAATTGCATGAACCAACAAACGGATGAATGGACATACATATCCCATGATAAAGAATGAGTTAAAGTTGCAGATAGTGTAGAGCATTTGCCAACTCGAACAGGGCTGCTAGTGTAAATCTGCTACAGATCGCGTATTTAATCAAAGTATTTAACAGAGAGAACTTCAGCAATAAACTGATTTCTCAAGCAACTCACTTGCACACAAGCACTCACACAACCCAATATAGGGCCGCAAAAAAGGCGTAAGAGGAAGGGGAAGATTAGATAATTTCGAAAAAAAAAAGCTGTTACATGTAAATAAAGTTTTTTTTTTTTTTTTTTTTAAATATTGAAAGGTTCTATTTGTTTATGTAAGAGAACCGACATGTCATCGTCAAAAAATACCGTGGATTTTTTCAGTGAATAGTCCTCCGCTTCTAATATCGAGAAATACATAATTTAGCCCCTGGATCGAAGTCGCGTTTAAAAATAGAAGGTTATCCAGGGCTAAGTTTGGAAGAGATAAGTCAAAGATAATTTTTCTCCCTCGATTTGTTTCTTGGCAATCTTTAATAGACATTGCATTTCAATTTATGTATTCAATAATCCGTATCTTCAAGAAAAAAAAAATAGCCTTCTTTTACAAAAAAAAAAAGACCTTCAGTCAAAAGATCGTGAAACACTGGATTTGTCTGCCATAAGGTTGCGTTACTATTTGCCAGATCAATGCCACGTATGATTCCACTGTCCCCATTAAGGATCGCTCTAGACGACTGGTGGTTCATATCTACAATAGATGAACACGTATTGTGAATACTGTTTCCAATTCTTGAAGAACTCCGAATGAGCAAATATAGACGGAGCGTAAAGCATCCGACAACCGAATAACAGCCAGCACAGAGGAACACGTGCTGAGAATCTGTAGAGGCAGCATCAAGAACGGGAACAGCAACCGAACGCCACCGGTAAGCAGATTTCGCTTGACTTCTCTAGAGCCACTTCCTCTCAATTCAAAGACGGAAAAAACTGAGAAGGCAATGATGACAACTACGATGAGGGTGAAATTATATGAGTCGGATCGACTGTTGTACTACTACTGATGCTGGTGGGATAGCAGGAGAGGGGTAGTTAGTAGGGAGTAGCGAAGCTGTTGAGGGGAGAAGAATCCAGCCGTGTTCTGCCAGGGATATATGCAGGCGTACTATAGACTCAGAAGGCTCTGGCAGGGGCAAAGTTAACGCGGAAACGGGCAAGGCTCGGTGAAGGCCATCTGACAGCGGGTGTAGTAGGACTACTGTCTACCGGGCTTCTGCTGGTTAGAGCGACACGAAGCCGAGAAGAGGGCGAAAAAAAAATAGAGCTCACAGATGTGTGTGTGTGTACGTTATAAGACGCCCAGTTCGACAGAATCTTTCTGTGAGAAAAGTAGAAGAGCAAGCCGCTTGGGCAAAGAGGGATGGTGTGTAGGAGCGCGGGGCAAAAACCCCGGAGACAGAGAGCCAACTAGGGCAAAGCTGAAACGCGACCAAACTTGCAATTCTCAATGAGAACGGAGGGGAAAGGAAACAAGGCAGGCATAGCGAGATGGGGCATAGGGACGACTGGACGGTCGGACGTACGAAGTCTTTGCTGAAGAATAGCCCAAGAAGGAAGAGATGGCTACGAAGAAATAAAGCTAAATAATGGTAGTTAGCAGCCTGGCAGCGCCACCATCGGAGGCTCATACGTATGCCACTGTAGGCGGAGGGCAAATGGAGAGCCAAAGTAAGAAAGAGAAGAGCGAATCAGGGAGCAAGAAACTCGTCGCTGTGTCTGTATGTGTGTGAGGATTTTGGGGGCAAATTTTCCGAGAGGACCCTGAGAAAAGGAATGAGCAGCCTCCAGCAACAAAGAAAACTACAGAACAGCGAAGGCGTAAGAAAGAGAAAGATCGCTAGGACTGGACAAAACGAGGCAGAGAGCAGTCATACTGATGCCAGCGCTGCTCAGATGGGCATAACAGGGGCAAATGGAGCTCGAAATGGGGGTGAGGGACACACAGAATAACGAGAGAAAAACGGAGAGTAAACACAAGAGTGGTAGTGGTGAACCAGGCCCAGCGTAAAGACAGAGCTAAAAAGAGAAGCAGAAGAGAATATAAACAGTAGGAACAGGCACGAATGAGCAAATAAGGAGAAAAGCCCGGAACGACCAAGGACCAACGAGAAACGGCCGAGACATGGAGAAGAATAGGAAATATTAAGAAGGACTATGGAACTGCAGCGGGGGCGTAAAGCAGCAGGGATGGCTAGTAGTTGATAGCGCGAAATCAGAAGGGGATTTCGATACCCTCGTGGGGTATAATGTGTGAGATAGGGGCAAAATGGGACAGACTAAAGAGTCGAAACTGGGGCTAACCAGCGATAGCGAGCATGGCTTGGAGCGTAACGGAGAGAGATGGCCCAAAATGACGACGACGGCGCCTATCCAGGGATAACGCGGAATAGAGCGCTGGTCTTTGAAAGGTTTTGTTAGACATCGGCTGCGACTACTACTGCCGCTAATATAACTGGTTCCAACTGAAGCTCATGAAAGGAGAAGAAATAAGTAGGGAAACGCACTGCGTTCCACATTTCGAACAGAGCGAAACATAGACACAATTAAGGGATATCGCTAAGAAATAAGCACAAACACATAGATGTGTTCGAAGCGATCGAGCGGCAAAAAGATGCACTGCCAGAAGCTGTTGTGTGTGGAAAATAGGAACACCGTCATATAATTGGTTTGATGAAATCAGAAGCGTGATCGAACAATAGGCTCAATGACAAGTACCATTTTACTATGGTTGTTAGAAACTGACAGCAAAAGTTCGTAGTGATTGACCGTCATTCTAGGAGGTCACACTGTCATGAATAGTGTTACGTAAAGATAGATACATCCGATGAAATCTTCGGTATTTGAGAACCGAATGTTTCATAAGAACTTCCGTTAGCCTACATTTTAACATCACTAATCGTTTACATACATACGTCATTCAATGTATAACCACAGGCAAAGACTTTCTAGAGGCGTTCATACGAAGAGGCAATCGCTTGATTCTCTCGTCAAATCACCGAAATCAATTTATGTCTAAAGAAAAGCGCGTCATAAAAATATTATACTATAACGAACCTGGCTCTTCTCAACATAATACACTTCCGCAGACCCATTGCATTACCGAAACAAACATCATAAATAATTGCAGTTTTATGTCCGTCTCTGCTGTTAAACAGTACTTGTAAACAGCTGGTTCCTTTCAGCATACACCAAAGGGTGTCTACGTCCAATTTCAAACCTGGACTACCTCACGTACTTCTAAGCTCAGAAGCAGGTAGGTACGTCTCGCTACAAAATAGGCGGGACAAAAGCGGAGATTATGCGAAGACCAGCCCTGGAGGTTTAGTCTTCTGCTACCAGGTTTTAAACACAATTTAGGCCAACTGCGAAGCAAACCTATATCTTAAATATATCATGATTGAAATAGGGTGTTCTAAGGTACACCGCATTCAATTATAGCATATCCAACAGGCTACATTTATTCTGCCACAGGCGAATTCACCCGTGGTCTGAGCTATCGCTTTTTTTTACTTAACGAACACCTTAACAATATTCCTACCAGTACCCGGTTTCAGGGAGCTCATTTTTGTGATGAGTCGTCGGCAAACGCACTCCAACTCAGTGAACGCAGTTCATAATACATATTTTTGCAGATAGTGCCAGCTGGAGGGGAAGATGCTAGCAGACGACCTGCATACTTCAGTCTGTTCTGCAATCATAAAGCTAACGCATTTAGGCGTTACCCTTCCTAAAGGCTACTCGCATGTATGGACCACTATGACCTGTTTGCTCACCTTCTCTGTTAGGGTAGATTTCGTATTTTCCCGCTCTTTCCCGCAGCAGACGACCCTGCAATCTTTCTATTTATTTCTCTCGGAAAAAGCTTCATTTACGCAAAGGCATTTTTCCCCGTTATTTTCGCTACCTTCACACCTACTGTTTCCTTAGTCGTCGACCCTCAATGCCATCCCGCTTCACCGAACCCTCTTGCACAGCTCCGATTTTCGTATACGGTCAGATCCGTGCCACAGAGAGCGCCGTGCTCATTTCCCCGGATCTACGCTCTAAGAGCCGCTAGGCCGCCACCTCGGCGACGGCTGGTGCTGCCTGCGTTTTTCGCACAAAAGAACATAACACAAACATTCTCGTGGTTCGGCTTCGCATGCCACTCCACTATGAACGGAATTGTACGGCATAGTAAGGCGAGAAAATGCAGAGTCGGAAAAAAACCAGCGGCCCCTCACTGCCACCGGCACTATTACTATTACTACCACTCCTCTAATACTATGTAAGCATAGCGTGGTCTGTTTGCCTGTAGCGGCCTCAGTAGCAGCGGCATCTACCTACCTAACCAAACTACCGACTCCCACGTCGTGCAGCAAGGACTCGCCGAGCACCTATGACTTTCTTGTTGGCCGGCACAACTTTCCCGTCGTTGGTAGCCTCGGTGGCAGTAGTCATTTCATCGTGGCGGCGCAGCCGTCGCTAGTCGTCGTCGTCGTCGTCGTCGTTTCACTAGGATAAGGCCCATACACGCTGGCTGGCCAGCAGGCCGACCGAGCGAAAACCATTTCCACGAGCACAGCTCCCTTAGTCTCTCATCTTCTTCTGCCGCTGCTGCTGTGTGTGGGATGAAGCAGGTAGGGGGCGAAAGGGGACAAAGTGGGCCAAAAGAAAGAGGGCAGTTACCGTTCTATCTAAGTCAGCTAAGGTAGCGTTGCTTCGTTGTGCCCCTGCGTTCTGCGCTGTTGTCGTGGTAGTGGTGATGCAGGGAAGTGGTGGAACGGTGTCGAGAAGACCATCTGCTCGGTCTTCCCTCTGGTCCGGACCATCTAACCTAGCCTTGTGGGCCTCCCATGGCTGCTCTTTTCTTTGCTACTGGTCCAGTACCGCTACATCGCCGCTGTCTATGACTGCTGCTGCTGGTAATAATAAAGCTAACTAAAATCACACAACTACCTACCCTCCTGGCGGGAAACAACCCCCGGCACCAAACCTCGCCTTGCTCAACCCTCACTCGCTGCAAGAACGGTCCTCCTGCCTCCTCACAGGAGACCATATCCCATTCAAGTTTCCCATTGCGAGTCGGCGAGCAATGCAGCCAGCGTATGTGCGGAACACTTACAAACGGTTGGTCAGTCGCTAGGACCGTCGAGGAGTCCTAACTAAGGCCAGAGTGTCATACAACTCGAAGTACAGCGAGGCACACGGAGAAAAGCGCACGGAGGTGTGGCCGTCGTTAATCGTCTCCGTGAATGGAATGACCAGCAGGAATTGCAGCATAGCAGAAATATGCTGCTGAGGTATATAGTCGTCTGAATCATCTTTTGCAGGCATATACACTTCAGTTAATGTTAGATCTCGGGCAGCCGGGTCAGCGAAACCAAAACGCGGCATTGTTATCCTCACTACGACAAGAACGGCAACAACAACAACATAATCATTAGGACATCAACGTGTAAACGAAATGTTTCACGCAGCTATAACAACCGTCTTCATGACTATTCTATGATCTACGTCGTATATTATGGCTCCTATAGGACTTTTAAACAGAATTTCAACTGGTAAGGAGTCATATCAGTAAACGCATTACTGTCTGGAGACAGTATTTCTTCAGACTAAATGATTTCAGCTTACATTCCGGAGCAAACATGAGATAATACCCAAAAAGCCCAGTGGTAGCAACTCGACGTATGGCTAAAGCAATAAAGCACAACAAAGTTTGCGAGGATTCAAGCACAATCCGGGACAAACGGCAGCGAAAATCCACCAAAAACATCGTGCCAAATGTATAAGGCGCAAACAGAAAAGGTCAGGACGCACCGAGAACACCAGTGGACGTCTAACTAAAAGGAAAACGCGACACTAGTAGGACGAAAACGAATTATGAATTAGCACGAAAAAAGCCAGAAACGAGAGAAAAAAGAAGCGAAATTTGGCTTTGACCGAAAAAAAGGCCTCGAAGCACAAAAGAAGGGCTGAACATAACAAATTAACAGGGACTATAAGAAACAGCTGGTAGAGAGCCAAGTTTAGGAATAGTGCAATGCTATAATTCAGCCCAATGACTTTCCCGCTCATTTCTTTTCCCCGTTTTTTTACTCTCAACTTCATCTTACGTGTCCGGCTGGCCAAGCGACCAAACTCCTCTAACCTCTTTATCCTTCCATGCCATTCTATGCTTTTCTATCACTTCTCTATTTCTTCCCAGAGCGAGAGCTAACTAACTGGCGTCAAACAAATGGTCAGCAAATGGCTGAACAATTCTGGACTGTCCTCGTATTACCCAACGCACACTATGGTCTAGATTGGGTCGATGAGCAGTCGGTGGAGGTGGTAGTTAAAGGAAGTACGAAGCCTAAAAACGAAGAGTAGAGCACTTAGAGGTACGCAGGTGGGGAGCCTTGGGGAACACCACACCCACTTTTATCTCCCCTCTGGCCCCCTGAATGGGACCGCTCAGCAAACGGCTAAAATGCTCTGACGCGCGTTACTGTGGTCATCGCGTCGCCGCCGCTGGTCTCGCTGCTGGTTGGTGACATACGGTGCGGCTGTACCTAACAAAAGAGGGACGTTACTGGAGAATTACAGATAGGGTCTAAGTAGAAAAAGGTAGCAGGTGAAAAAAAAGCGAATCAGAGGCAACACTATCCAAATGACCAACCGCTCGACGAAATGAAGAGGACGAAAAAAGGAATAACGAGCATTTCAGTGATCAGGGAGCCGCGCCCTGATTCACCTTCTTCGCCGACCTCGAGAGCGCCCCTAGGCCGGCGAACGCCTAGCTAGGTCCTCCTTTTCGTTAGCCGGCTAGTTGCGTATTAGACAAGGACAGCGGCAGCTAAAGTAGATCCGTACGATCCAGGCGAAGGAACGACAAAGCAGCGCGGTGACTGTACGAATGTGCTAAGTGACTGTGCACACTACAAGGATACCACGATAGGCGAACTCAAGACTCACCTTTCACATACATAGGTTTCCTTGCCTGCGCTTTGCGACTGTTTGTGTATTCGCTTCGAGCGCCAGATACATTCGCAATCCTGGATGGACCAGCATAGTCTTGTAAGGCGCTCCGTCTGCCACGAGTCCACTGACAGCAGGCCAGCCAGGCCAACAGTGGTGTCCTGGCCTTCGTCTTTCCTATACCCTTGTCACCATAAACTCTCAGAATTTGTTCTTCCTGTCGGTCTGCTTCTCTGTTCCGTAGTATGTTATAGTAGGCGTACTGGCGTTCATAGAAATGTTGCGGTATAGTTGCTATAGGATAGGAGAAGCTAGCTGTTCTATGACAAAGAGGGCATTTTTGCCCTCGCCACTGTTGTCTTTCGTAGTCCTCAATCGTCGTACGAATGCAGGAAAACAGAGATGGACGAAGTAGAGCGACAGCAATGACGTGAGGACCAGTTATGAAGACGACGAGCGGTTGGGTTGGTTGAAAACGTTTAGAGAACAGACTTAGATTGCGACGAAGTGGCAGATTCAGGGGAAGTCATCATTGGGGGGGGGGGGGGAATGGCGCTTGGAACTGGATCCACATTGTCCGTTACTAAGCACTCATTGTGCTAAGGGCTGCCTAGCTGGCTCGTTACGTTTTTTTTTTTTCGAAGGAGCAGGACGTAAATCGTGTCGCTGCGTTTCGTTTTAGCGCTTTACACGCAGCGATGTCATATGACAACGAAATTGCAATGTATTTTTCTTTACTGTCGCTCTAAAATGAGTAGACGTCCTTCGCAGAAAACATCATTGAGATGTACGAAAATGTTCAGCACAAAAATTAGCTGGAAAACCTTTTCTTCTATGCTAGATTATTCTACTCTGAGGACATAACAATCTATATGAATTTTTTGAATGATCTGTCCGTGTTTGTGTTTACGCATATGTGCTTTTTGTTTTTTTTAGTAGATATAATATTTTTAATTTAAGCGTTAGAGCTGTGTTGTGGTGATAAAAAGTCGTCGTTCTTGACGTATAAGTTGAGGGGATAGATTCTATCGCCCAATTAATCGCAGCCGCGCGAAAAAGACGAAAGGTCAAGCTATATCTAATATTAAATGCATCTTGAAGCGACGTTGACAATTACTTGTTGTTTGTGAGACGTGTTTGTACAAAATACGTACTTAAAGCATACCAACACACAAGTATGGCGCCGTGACATGATATACTTTTTAACCATATTTTTTTCTAAATGGTGCATATTGTAGATGCACATTCGAGTATTTGTTCCTTTTTGGTTTTGGTCCTTCCTACCGGTTTCTCGGTACTGGCCGAAAACAACGTCGTTACTTTCGAGTGCTGCAGCGCTGCCGAAGTGCGTTGCCTCCTCCCCAAAACTCGTTATATAGAACGAGATCCTACCCTGTCGCTGAGACTCATACAAAATATGGTCCATGACGTTAAGCGTTAGCATTCCTTCGAACATTTTAACCAGTTTTGAGTCCGGGATCTGAAATATAGCAGCGAACATAAAATCATAGAACAGTGTAATCATAGAATTACTTATGATCAAAATTATTGATAGAATATCATTTTGAGGTAGCGTAATGGTTGACCAAGTTTGACTCATACCAGAAGTAAAACTGCTAAATGACCCTTCAATGGTTACATGAGAGAAAACAATAGGAAGAAACAATCAATATCCAATGGAAACATATTCCGACCTTCGGCTCATGCGCAAGATCGATAACAGTTCCGTCTGGACTTAGTACCCGATACACCGGTAGAGGATCATAATTATCCGTGTTAAACATCTCTAGCTTTTCCGTCCATTTAGTTCGGATATTCGGGAAAGGTAACGAGGCCAAGTCCTCAGTTTGTTGCACGGTCGCCTGCCGGAGGAAAGTATTCGTTGGATTTGATAACTCAATAGTTCATCATATATAATTAGAATATATGTAGAAGATGGCTTATTGGAATAACTAAAGAAATGCAAAGGTAGCATTGGCTGCTTAAGCTACGACACTTCCATTATGGCTGTATTCGTGGTAACAGGACCTTTTGATGGCCACCAAAAAGAACAGCATCCTTCATTGCTGTTACACATTTTCAACGAAAGTTCCCGTCATAACATTATAATATTCTATTTCTAAGAGTTCTACTAAATATATATTCGCTAAGTGCTGAGGGTCATTATAAAATACGCGAATCGAGGTTACTCCTAGAAGAGTGAGATTTTGTTACGATATGCGGCACAGCCTTCTTTGTTTTGATGAGATGCAACATGTGGTGTTTTTTGTTTTTGGCAATACTGACACATGGCTAGAGTTCCATCTATTCAACTTGAGCATATGCTTTCAGCTTGTCTTCGATAAACTAAATATGTACGACGTAACTACATCGAATGCATATCCACTTCGACTTTTTGTTTTTGTTAGGCGAAGGCTGTTAACACAATTTTTCTGTTTGAGAAATAGTTGAAGAGCTGTTTGCCTGTAAAATCATTATCACGTCTTTGCTAAATCATTGCTGATAACTACAATAAAATTCTACTTCAAAGCTACAACTGGTGTCCATCTACGTAAATAGTAAGCCAACTCGTGTTCACACCATCCGGTGTTTAAGAGACAAATAGCCAGCCATCATTATCCTGCGCATGCTACACAGTCGCTAGATAATGCATCGTATAACAGTACGATCCCCGCATTACACACATGATAGAATATATAAAAAAACACTGATTGATAACACACTGTGCTCTGGCCGTTAAATACATCATTGGTCGGTTGTATGGCCTAGATCTGCGTAGTCTTCAATGCAGGTGACATCAATACAACCCCAAGTTTCTGTTACGCCACACGTCCACTCTTCGCTTTTCCCCACAATAGGATACTCCTATACGTCCTTACGAGGGTCCTAAGCTCACATTTAACAAGCTTTCAGCGAGTTATTCTCAAAGAATATATACCTATATATCTATACAACAGAATACAGGTATACGGCGAAGCAGTGGTATTAGTAATAGCATAAGAAGCAGTAGTCTTCTTAGTATCTATCAAGTCACGCTAAAGTGTCATTGCCTGTCTACCTGACTTACTCGTCGAGCTAGCCAAACATAGTCTAATATATACCTTCAAGCTATGTATAGTCGCGGGGGTAAAATGGGGGTATCGGTCTACCTGTAACGTATACACGGCTAATAAAACCGACATTTATATGACATCGCGCCGACCGCTACCGCCGCCCCCGCCGACGACGACGCGGGTCGTCGCGCATCGAAGGACTTCGCGTCCCCAAAACTGCCTGGCCGAAGAACTCCCAGTCTCTCTCTCGAAGTTAACGAAAGCTAGCTAGCGTACATTAAGCTTGCCTAGCCTTCAATCGCCATTGGTGTCGATAGAGATGCGAGGACAGTCGCGAATGTTCGAACTGAATGTTACTTTGCTGCTTGTCCGGTAGCTAGGACATCACGGCCTGCCTATTCGCTAGGTACAGAATAACAATGCCTCCATCATCATCCATATGATCAAATCTAGACTGCGTCCATTTTCGCTCGCTTTCTTTTGTCCCGTTGTCTATCGTGTCCAGACTGTCGAATGCGAACAAAACAGAACAATGTTCTTGACGACCACTGGCAATGAATGAACTCTCTCTATCCGCAGGCAACAACGGTTTTAGTAACGAGCATAACCACACGACGGCGATGAGTGCGGCAGCGGAAAACCAACATGATATCAGTTTGTTGCGGAGACCTACAACAATCCTGCTCACCTATTAGAATTGAAGATGAAACTCGTCACATAGTCTTTCCGGTGCAGACGGCACATCTCGACTGGCCATGTCCTGCCTGATGAAAAGACGGACTTACGTCGATGACAACTGTCCGCCAAGTACGGGTCGGATCGCCTTCGACCCGGTCCGACTACTGCAGTGCAGCAACAGCAGGCCCCGCGTTGGCCTCTACAACAAAGGCGAAAGTAATCACGCGAACTTCGGATATACAAGTACTACATAGCAACTACATCGAGAAATGGGTAAAAGCGACCTGAAACCGGCATGATTTACAAGCGAGCAATGGCGGGGCAGCCCGCGCACGTATGATAATACTTGTCTGGCTGACCGGCTGGCTTCTTCAAAGAAAACGGGAGTAATACAAGTGAGTAACGATGGTGGAAGTACATGGCGACTACAATGATCAGAGTTAATGGTACACAGCAACACAAAGATAAATCGCGCTAATTTCAAATGAAGCAAGGATTGTAGGTGTTGCTAGATAGGTGTGCACAATCTAACGGTAATACTGATAGACTAGAAATGACACGGCAAAGATAAAAAAAAAAAAAAAATACGTAGGACGAGATAGTTTTCGTAATGTAGAGCAATACATGAATTTTTTCTAGTTGGTAGACCTTATGGACTGATTGGAAAAATGTGCAAAATTTATTTGCTAAATAATTGTCCAGCGTCTTTTTTTCGTACGAACGTGCGCTTTATACGGGACGAACTTCAAGAGTGGACATACGTAAATAAGCTAGATTACACGAGGAAATTCACGAATTGATTTTCTTTAACATTTCAAGACTTTTTCAAAAGGTCTACAGCATCCATAATCTTCTGTCCTGCGAAAATTTTATTGAAACAAGCGTGTACATTTAATTGGATCCTTACGTCAACATCTCAGCCGTCAAGCAAGAAAAATGAACGACTCATTAACTCCTATAGATTATTCTTGACGGAAGACCCTTGGACGGCACGGAGAGGAAATACAGACAATCGTAGAATCTTAGATTAAAGATTGTTTCTTTTATACAAAAATATGCTAGAAAGCGTGATACTGCCGGAATGTCGGTATTATTCGATTACGCACAAGCCGACAGCCTGGTCATCCAGTCTGCTGTCTTACTAACCGCTCGACTTATCTACCTGAAGGAAACCTTTGAAATATATAGAAAAATAAACCGGAGTTGAAAATTGTTTTCGAATGTACATCTTCATCGAGCCGTTGATCTATCACGTTTTTTACATCAATCGACGTGACTTAGATGGGTTCTCGTATTGGCATTATTTATCACTCACTCACTCACTCAGTTGACATTGCATGAGTGTTAACTAAGTGATTTTAATTAGGTTAATTAAGTGGGATTAGCCTTACCTTAGAGATGGACAGCAGAACTTCTCCATTGACCCTCTCTCTTCCTATTAGTTTTAACCGAAACCTCTTCTTACGTATCTAATAAATACGATAAACAAGTAGTATTTTTTGTCTGCCCGATCCATATGACTTTGGCGCATTTCGCTCTGTCGGCTACCGGTCGCTTGGCAGTGACGGCGCAGTGTACATGTTCACTATCCACCGTTTTGTTCGCCCGTAATAGACGCTGGTGCTGACCCTCATCATCAGCAGCAGCTGCTGTTCACTAGCAGACGCAACAGCAGTCAGCCGCCGCCGCCGCCGCCGCCGCCGTCGCCGTTCGTACGCTCCGACGGGTACCGTAAAGGAAGACTGGTCGCAGGAAGAATCTCAAGCAAAGTGTGAACATCAACTTAATGATGTGTTCGGTAGTTTGCAAACCGCCCATTGTCGACTGGCTGCCACTGTGCTACTCGTATAACTTCGTCTACCTTCCCCTCCCTCCCTCTCTCCCTCCCTCTCTCCCTCCCTCCCTCCCTCCCTCCCTCCCTCCCTCTCTCTCTTATTCTGCAAATACACATGAATTCGTTTTTATATTCGGCTAGTAGCTGCATGGCTCGGTACGGACAGCGAAGGGGTGGCGGAGTGGT